CATTGTGTAACTTTGTGCTTAACTTCAAACAAACAATCTACAATTTTATAAGAATAGGCGGGAGTTTTGCAATACATATAAGTTATGTACAATTCTAAATATACATGTAATTTAAACAAACATCGATATTAGCACATACATATATATAATAAATCCATCACGTATCTAATATATTATTTCAACTATATTGAGATATTTTAATAATTTGAGTCACAGTTCTAATAAATAAAATTGTAGTGTACATTTACAAGCCCATTTTGGAACCTTCAATGAGGTTTCCCGCAGAAATTTAACTTGCATAATCTTCGTATTTCCTTTTAGTCTGCTGCGCCTGCGTGTTCTTTTCGTCAAAACTTAATTATCTAAGAAGTTGCTAAGAAACTACTTAGTTCAGAAGCTTGTAGTCAAGAAATTTTTCCTTCCTTCATTTATGAAATAACACCAACAGTTATATATAGAGAAATGTATTCGTTATTAGGAACGCTACTAGTTCTTCCTTAATACATAGCGAAGCGATGCGTCAACTGTCGACTAGTAATTAAAACTGGAAGTTTTATTTTTTTAAATTGTGTAAATATGTATGTATCCAACAACGTTTGTTGAATGTATTTTCTCTCAGTGTTTAACTAGGCCCGGCATGGCTAGGTGGCTAGGGCGCTCGACTCGCAATCTGCGGGTCGCGGGCTCGAATCCCCGTCCCACCAAACATGCTCGCCCTTTAAGCCGTGGGGGCGTTATAATGTGACGGTCAATCCCACTATTCGTTGGTAAAAGATTAGCCCAAGAGTTGGCGGTGGGTGGTGGTGATGACTAGCTGCCTTCCCTCTAATCTTAAACTGCTAAATTAGGGACGGCTAGCGCAGATATGTATTTGCGCGAAATTCAAACCAAACCAGTGTTTAACTCAGATCACTGAGCAAGAGAGTAAACACATACACACACACACAAATTATATAGCATCGGCGAAACGTTACAGTTTGTCCTGGAATTCGATGTATGGTGGTGGTCTTACGATTTGCAAAACATAAAAATGTTATTTAGTATACCTTGAAATGTTTCAACGAAGCCTTCGACATGTTCAATATTTAAATGTTTAACAGTTGGAGGAGCAATCACAAAGACGTTTCGGCGAAATAGTTAAAACTGCTACTACCATACATATTTTATTTTCTTGGGCTTTAATTCTATTTAAATTCGTTTTGTATTTGAAACAGTGTGTGGGCCATAATTTCTAAAATATAAACACTAATTCACAGGAAGTCATGGTAAAATTTCGTAGTTAACAGGGCTAATGCCAATTTTGTCGTACCTTGTGATTGCGACGTGTCCCTAAAATAGAGGGGGGAAAAACAAGAGGAAAAACTCTAAAAGTACCTGTGCTAAGAAAAGGCAGTCATTTACTTGAGAAAATATATTTTTAGTTGTTTTCTACAGAAATTACAATAATGCTAAGAACAAGAAGCAAAATAAATATGACAATTTGAAGAAAAAAAAATTCCAAGTTTTATATTATAATTCAGCCATTGTTATTTGTTTTAGAGCAAAACCACCTTTGGGCTATTTTAGTGTTGTAATTCCGTAAACTTACCGCTCTCCCATCGGGGAACAATAATTCAGCCCAATTTTATGTTGTTTTAATGCACGTATTGTTTTTAAGTTGTGGATTCAATATACGTTCTACCCTTAGCACAATTAAAGCAGGGAAGGAGGCCCGGCATGGCCAGGTGGTTAGGGAACTCGACTCGCAATCTGTGGGTCGAGGTTTGAATCCCTGTCCCACCAAACATGCTTGCCCTTTCAGCCTTGAAGGCGTTATAATGTGACGGTCAATCCCACTATTCGTTAAGTAAAAGAGTAGCCCAAAGAGTTGACGGTGGGTGGTGATGACTAGCTGCCTTCCCTCTAGTCTTACACCGCTAAATTAGGGACGGCTAGCGCAGATAGCCCTCGTGTAGCTTTGCGCGAAATTCAAAAAACAAACAAAGCAGGGAAGGGGAAGATTTACCAAATCTTATTTCACATCTTGCCATTAGTTGATAAGAGCACAGCATAATAAACACTAAGTTTCGACGTTATTAGCATGGTGCTTGCACTGATATGTTCTGTGTTATAGGTCTGAAAAAATAAAGCCACGCCACAGAACAGCATCTGAGTTCAAAATAATTTTTGATTTATTCTTTAACGATGGTTGATAATTTCTTCTCTTATTAACTAGAAATTTGCCTAAACATTTTGTTTCTTTATTTTCAATAGGCATTTGCTAACATTTCGGAGAAACTGGAGCCTCTTTTGGAAGGTGTGAAATCGAATCGGTCACAATGGCTTAAAATGGCAGAAAATAATAAAGAAGAAATGGAAGAAGACGTGTAGATTGACCTTTGGTATGACCTCGAAGAAACTAACACATCCTTTCGTGGATTCACCAATAAATATTGTTTTACAAGTTGATGATAGCCTTATCTATCAATGACTTTACGAAGGAAGATTTTTATGTTATGTTATATGAATAAATGTGAAATCAATTCGTGATTGACGGGATTTTTTTTTTTTAAAATAGAGTTCATAGAAACAAAAGATTCACTTTTCTTGATGTGTTATACAGGGATTAGTGGCAGGTGAAAGTTTCGTGAAACATATTCTTGCATAATAAGTAGATTTGTCTCCTGAAATAAAGCTTTACCTTGGTGAATTCATCATAGAGGATTTTATCAAATGTAAAAACTATTAACGGAGTAATTTTTTTTTAACGAATCCATTTTTTCTTCTATGAGCTGTAAGCATAATGATGTTCATTAGATAAAGGAATACCAGTTTGCTAGAGGAAAAATTAATATGTGGAAATTGAACGATAGCGTAACTGTTTTATAAATCATCAAGGAAGGTAAAAAAAAAAATCCCAATACCGTTGTCAGAATCATACAACCCATCCATAAATCCACAACGAGTAACATAATTATTCGCCGCATCAGTAAACTTCACGAACCCAAGTTTTTCGTATCTTCTTCTTGTTTGTCGGAGACTTACACACGATCGAACAACCAATTTCTGAAAGTGACTGAGCAAAGTGAAGTACACAACTAGGAAAAGAGGGGGGTGGGTCACGTTAAAAGTTTTATTTGCCGGATAGTTAAACTGGTAGCACGGGTATTTAACTTAACCACAAGAGGACATGCAATTTCTTCGTGAATTAATATTTTATCACCTGTTTTTATCTATCTTATTTCGTTTTATTTGTCTTTTATCGTATCTGATTGTTATCTAACTTCCAGTCTATTGTGTGAAATTGTTAAATAAACTGATAATTTTTTTGTACTGTCCAGCGAAATTTAGAATATTTCGAAACTCCTTCGTCTTAGAAATAAAAGAGTTGTTGAAAAACAGAAGTGGTTGACTAGACTATTTTTTCCTTTATTTTAGAATGAAGAATGTTATTAAAAATTAATTATCTCTCCATATGATTATATTCTATTTTTTATATATGCATCTGAAGAAAAATATGTTGGAGAGGATAATATTAGAAGTTAATGAAGCTTATCAAAAGTACGTTTGCTAAAGGGTGTTGGGGACATCAGAATACCACTAGGCGTAATTTGAATTCAGTGGGGGGCCAGGATGTGATAAAAATCAGGGAAAACAGTCAAGGAAAGTGAAGGAAAAAATAAACGTGACCTGATTTTTAACTTTTATTCAGTTTAACCGACCTTTTCAGCTACCAAAGTCGTGTTAAAATATTTCACTTTGTCTATAGTGACTAATTACTTTGCGCCAAAAACTCAACTGAAGTTGAAAAAATCGCAAACTGGACTAAATCATAATAGAGACTAAAAATGTTATTGAACAAGCTGAGCGTAAAAATCATGTTGCGTTGAACAATCTCATTTATTAACTTCAGCAATAGTCATCAAGAAAGCAAAAAAAAAAAAAAAAATCAATATTGCTGTCACGTAAAGTAACTATAACACTGATTGCACTGTGGAAAACCTGACTCAGGATACTCCTTGTAAGGTTGTGGGTTATTTTGTTTTAAACAAAGGGGTCGTGAACTAAATACCGGGATATCTGAAAGTGTGAACAAGCAATATTGAGTTGCTCTGCATTACCTGAATAAACGTAAAATACAGAATCGCGGAATGATGCTCTCAGTTGTTATATATATATATATATA